CTTCCCCCATATGAGAGGTTTTCACATTTGTTCATGAAGTGCACCAGAACACAACACATCCTCTCCTCCTTGTTTGCTAATTGGTGGAAGACTGGGAGCCTCCTGCTGTGTGTTCACAGCTTCTCTCTTTGCTTTGCCACCCCACCAGGCCTTTCACCATCACTCTGTAGAACCCTGTAATTAACCCTCAGCTAATTAACTATTTCTAATTACACCAGCGAGTTGTCTCCATCACACCTTTAGAAACCAGACAACCTCTGATGCTGTATCAGTCTTTTCTGCAGGATTTTAGAAGTTTGACTCACTCCTGTTACCTGCACCCCTTTATGCATCAGTGTTTTAACAGATTTGGTCTCGTTTGTGTCGGAGTTGGCAGCATTGAATGGTTTAGTACAATTTGGTAGCTTTGTTTAATAATGCACATACATTTCAAAATTTTGCTTTGGGGCCGCTGACAACAGAAATAACTAAAGCGACAATTTAAATAATATGTCAATTTCTGCTCAAATTGAGAGATGTTGGTATTTTAGACAGGTTAGACCACCATCAGCATTAACAATTATTTTTATTTATTTATTTTTTTCTGTTTAAAACAAAGCAGCACAGACATGCATGATGGAAAATTACATGCAGTACTTGAGAAGTTCTCCCAGAAGTGCCAGGGAGCAACCTCCGCCACATGCATGCTCTGCTGTAAACACACGAGTGTTCCTTCATGCCTCAGACTCGACACAGCATTAGCTATTTCTGTTTCACAGACTGATAGCTCCTACTGAACATCATTGATTTTACGGGAAGCCCTGTTTACAGGCTGAGTGCCATCGACCTGAGGTGACTTTTTACCTCCTGCAGTTGGAGCATCCTTATGTCTGCATTAGTGGAAGAGAAGGCTAAACAGTTACAGAGCACAATTAACAAAGAGATGAGATTTGTCTTAATTTTTAGTTTTGGGGAAAAAAACAAAACAAAAAGGAAGAACTCCTCATACCATGAAATCTATCTGGCTTTCAATGATACACAGCAGTAAAATATCTGAAGATATAATACAGTTTTTTTTAACTGTTCCTTTGTCAAAAAATATTTTCCAGAAATGTATTTTTCTTACTCTCTCTGTTCATTCATATGTTCCTATATTTCTCATTCTTATATTTCTAATATTAAAAGAGTTTTTTCCTCAGGAAATTATTTGGGTAGGCAACTTGCATACTGGTGCAACAGGTTTACATCTCCTCATTGATAGTGTTCTGTGTTGGAGCCGGAATTCTCTAAGCTAATGTTAAAGTGAATGTATGCCTTTATTGGTGATTAAGTGGAACAAACCTGGGAGATAAACCCAGGCTTCTCTCTGCCCGAGGACTACAATAGTTCCCTCGTCAATGAGCATGTCCCTGGTGCAACATCAAAAGCCTTCCCCTGCTTTATCAATAAGAATCCTTCCTTCCCACATCTTCCTGTAACTTGCTTAGCGTTCACGGCATTGATTTTTCAATAAGCGCCCCTTACCCTGCGGTGGCTGGCCTGGCTCTGTGATTGCTCAGAGACTAGACACAGACAAGCTGAGGAACAATTGAGAATCAGATCTGTTGTATCGTTAGTGGTCCTTGAGGCATATTAAGTAGCTATGTCTTTTCCATTTTAAAGAGGTTGTCTCTTATTGCTGAAGCATATGTAGATAGAAGTGTTTTGGTCCCTGTCCTACCTATAATGTTTGACATTTAAGTCAGAGCTTATTCTCTTAGGACACCCTGGAAAGCAGGGTCCTCTAGAGGCAAAAGCAGAGCTTTAAAAAGAAAGCAATCATATAGATTGATGTTTGTTTGTTTTATTCTGACTAAATCACACTAAATGAATACACCTATAACTGGAAAAAAGTATATATTTTGGAGTCATACCAATAGCATCCAGATTCTGCGATGTTGCTCATAAAAGGACAAGGTGATTCAAAATAATTCACTTTTTTTGTTGTGAGAAAATGTGGAATAATGATTTTCAGTCAGGAGAAAAAGAGAGTAAAGCAATTCTGGCAGAGTCATTGAAGGCAGGTGGCAGCAGAGGGTGAGTTCTGTGCATCGGCATGCTCTCCTTTTGAACAGCTCAGGAATCCAGCCTTTTCTCCCTAGTGATTATCTCATATTGTCAGCTACGGCTTGTTTTGGCTGCACACAGCCTGCTTATTGTGAACTTAGTAGGCCCCACATTCAGAATTACAATGCAACACAGGCTGCTGGGGCCATGGCTTAATCACTTGTTGTACTGCCAGCATGCAAAAACAATAGTTTTATTTCTGGATACAACATGATATATCTGTCTATATTAATACTTGGTTGTAGTCACCTTCAGTGGGCTCCTCCTTCATTTTGATTTGTGGTTATTAACATAGTCAGCACTCAGAGACTCCAGCCTCCTCCACTTCCCCTCTACTTCGACTGCGTCTCCGTGTCTGTCTCCTGTACTTGTTTAGTGCCTCCCAGAGATTAAAGCTTTTCCTGCTTTAAACAGGTGTCACTGAGCCAGGCAGACATCCAAGAGACAAACAGTTTTATATCAGTTGGCCCCATCTGCGACTTTCTGACTCCAGACAATCCCATTGCTCATCTGTAACCACTGCAAGTTATTGAATTACACCATCTTGATTTTAAAGGGCAATTCTGTTTTCTGTAAGCAGTGGACACACCAAGCTAGCTCAGAGCTTCACCTCTGATCAAGAGCCATTGTGTTACCCTGACTACTGCTAATTGCTTGTGGTATCTTAGAGCTTTAATGGGAACTAAGCGCTACATATTCTCGGTACAGTAGCCTGCACTATACTCAGCTTGTTCAAACTTATCAAGGCTAAAAGCAGGTCATCGTTAAGCAGCAGTCTCTAGCCTTGCATATGTGCACACTTCTCTGTTTTTGCAACAACTGGAATCTGAAACAATGAGCAAATAGCTTATAACAAAAAATGAACTATTCCACACTTTGATTTGGAAATATATTCTGGCGAGACATCTTATTTCAGGCAATTCCCCTTTCTTCCCTTTTTCTGCTTAATTTCTCACAATTTATCCTATTGCTTTTAGCTTGAAGAATAATTTTGTTTAAAGCAGCTTTTCTTTTTTTTTTCTTTCACTCTCTCAGCCATCTGTCTATTTGTGTGAAATGGCCGTTGAGCTCATAGCCTCTTATTAATGGAGCAGATAATAAATACAGACCAGTAGGGCTAGTATCCCCTCACTCAATATGGCAGCCATCTTTAAATCATGTCTGGTTGTATAAAGCAATCTTGTTAATAAGCCAGCCAGTCTACTGTCTCCAATATCTCATCAAATTATATGCAAACTAGCTCAAAGTTCAGGGTTAGCTTGTTCAGCATTTAAAAAACAAAAACACATGCACATCGTATCACAAAAAATAGGATGTTCAAATTTTTCACAAAATCTTTATTTGTTAATTTTTTACAATTCTCTCTGTTTTACTGGCGTTCATTAATTATAGAATTTTGAGATTTTTATATATATACATATATGTATGAATCTGAAAAAATATATATATATATTCATACATACATACATATTGCTTTTTGATCTTTTACCTGTAATAATGAAGCCTAAACACAAATTCACGTCTTTAAAATAGCTGCACATTATTTTTGAAGTGGGATAGATTGTAGGTTGAAGAGGTACTTTGCACAAGAAGTACTTTTCATCAGACATTCATGAATAGGCAGACAGACATTATCAATCTCTCCTCTTGCTCAGTGCTTAATACCTTAGGCTGTGGGGGTAGACTCCATTCTGATCACAGCTGAAATTTGCATCTCTAAGTAAATAAGTAAATAAATCAAGTGCAAGCACTGAATTTGCTAATCAACCGGGACATTGCAGTGAGCTTGGTGCCGGGAAACTTTACTCATGTAATATTCAGCACTGGTGGGTTAAAGGGCAGCCCAGAGTTATTGGCTTCGGCCCGATTGCCCCCTTTAATCAATGTTGGCTGCATCCCTTTAATAAAATTATTAGCTCAGCAGTATCTTGTGCTATCATTTTATCTCTTCTGTGCTCTAAATTGCAGCCTGTGTTGGGCCTCTCAGATGCTCGGGGCATGGCCAGCTCCCGAAAGCTCAGCTCCCATTTATTATTTCAGAGACGGATGATGGCTAGAGTGTTTGAAACCAGGCTAAGCTCAGAGGTTATTGGATGTAAGATCTAAACACAGCTGGAGTGAAGTCCCAACCCAGCCTATATATTTTGAGCTCCTAAAAAAATACAGTCTTTAATACTTAGGCGAGTTTAGGCATCTCTTTCTCAATAATTCTCATGAATACTATCTCTAATGTTCAATTTTACCTCAGCTCTAGAGGACTTAAAATTGTAATACTGCTAAAATATTTTTAAAACAACACATTTTCACCTTTTCCTTGAGTCATATTAATGTGTGATGTGCTGATGGGTGGCTTCTCTCAGTGTATAATTATCTCACAAGGAATCTATTTGATCTATTAAGTTAGTTTGACTGCAAGTTAATTAAAAACGGATGTAGGATATGCAGAATATAAGATTAAGGGTGTTGTTTGGAGGTTGAAGATAAAAGATGGTACTTTTCTGATATGGCAGGAAGATGAATCATGGACGGCTTATTAGTGCTTGTCTCAGGTATTGTGTTTATGTGCCTAATCTAGCGTAATGAGTAGGGTGTCAGCTTTCCAATTATATCTCAGAGTTTTTGCTATGCTTTTGATATTTTTTCAAGGGTGCCATGTATACATTTTAATGCTGTGCTTTATTGTTGATTTGTTAAAATGAGGAAGTAATATTGATTCAAATGTAGACATTTGTTTCTATCTTCGACATGGCAAGTAATAAGATTTGTGTGAAGATTTGTCTGTACCAGTCTATCCGAATTATTTGATTGAATTGTTTTAAGATGATGTGTGTTATACAATATAAATACACTGGACTGAAGTCAGTTGATTGGTAGAAAAAGTATAAATTAGTAACCTCTGATATTTATTTTTACAGGCCTGGATGCGATGAACGCCTCATGTAGGCATCAGCATGGAAAGCTGTGAGTCTCCCGTGGTTTCTGGGACAGAGGATGGGCTCAGCTCCTCCCAACAGCAGCAACCACCACAGCCCTGGAACGATCACTCTAACTCACAGGTTACTTGCACCAAACAGGCCCCTTCTCTGGATGCCCTGTCCCTCTCTGGATCTTACCCTTCTCAGCCCACGAACTCCATTGCCCCTCATGACGGGCTGAGAGACCTACAGTCACAGCAGTTGCAGCCAAAACAGACATTACCTTTGGCCCACCTTGATAATTCTGCCATTGGCCAACTGCATTCCAGGAGAGAGCGTCTTGAAGGCGTGGAGCAGGAGGGAGCAAGCTGTGGAGAAGAGGAAGAATCAGAGGACTTAGATGAGATGGAGATTGACAGCTGTTTTCCAAGTCTTCAACCTTTCCCTGGGATGCCAATAACCTCAGGGGGAGGAGGAATGCCCACTCTTTTGCTACATCATCCCAAGCAACAGCAAGAACCACCTGAGAGTGGAAGTGATGAAGGAGAAGAGGAAGAGGAAGAAGAGAGCAGTGATGTGGAAAACTTGGCTGGAGAGATAGTTTATCAGCCCGATGGCTCAGCCTACATTGTAGAGAGCCTCAGTCAACTGATCCAAAGTAGTGGTGGTAAGGTACCTGGCCTGCTCCCTACAAACTCTGTCACAAGTGGGGGGAAACCGGGAGAACCGGCTGGGGCTTCGTCCTCAGTCTACCCACAGATCATCAATACTTTCCACATAGCATCCTCTTTTGGGAAGTGGTTTGGTAATTCAGACCAGAGTTTTCCCAATACCTCAACAATGGCAGGCCTTAGTCCTGTCCTGCACAGTTTTCGTGTCTTTGATGTGCGGCACAAAAGCAACAAGGATTACCTGAACAGCGATGGGTCTGCAAAGAGGTCCTGTGTTTCCAAAGATGTTCCCAACAATGTGGATTTTTCCAAATTTGATGGGCTAGCCCTTTATGGCAAGGGTAAGCCCATTTTAATGTGTTTTCTCTGCAAGCTGTCCTTTGGCTATGCTCGTTCCTTTGCCACTCATGCAGTCCATGATCACCGCATGACACTGTGTGAAGATGAACGGCAGCTGTTAGGGGACAAGCATGCCTCTGCCATCATCCAGGGCATTGGAAAGGACAAGGAACCCCTTATTAGTTTCCTGGAACCAAAAATTAGGAGCAGTCCTCTGCCACCTACCCTGCTACCCATTAACTCTGGACAGAGCTTCTATGGCACATTTAGTGGTGTCCATCTAGAGCCTGGAAACAGCAGTGGGGGCAGTGAGACCCTTCTGATCAAAGACTCTGACTCTGGCCTCCAGCAACAGCAGCAACAACAAACACCACTTAGTTCAGTTCTTTCTATAGGTGGACGAAGTGTTTCCCAAGCATCCGCTCTTACCTCTTCTCCAGGCTCTGCCAAAGACTCCAATGCCCTTCCCAAACAGGGATGCAGAATAGAGGAGCCTGTGGGGAAAGAGCTGGCATGCAAGGGAGAAGATGGAAGAACTGAGGGACATGAAAGCAATGTGCAGCTATCCAGCCAGTTGGGGGGCTCAGAAGAAGAGGATGAGCTGTTATTAGGGGAAGAGGAAGATGAGGTGGAGGCAGAAAGCACCGCAGTGGCCTGTGGGGGTAAGAGTAGCAGCGGTGGGAGTGAGGCGGGGGAACAAGCTGTCTCAAACCAAAGCAATTCCAAATCTCCTTTATTAATGCCTAGTAGCACTCTCCAGCCTTCTGCCTGCACCTCTGCAGTTGGTTCTGCGCTCAACAGCAAAGCCCTTGCTTCCATTTCCTCCTCTGTCAAGGAAGAGGCTTCAGCTGCAGATGGTGGGGGGAGGACATCAGAGCTCCCTCTGAGCTTTAACTGCCAGGGACCAACTGTTCCCATGGCTCTAGCGGCAGCTGCCGTCAGAAGGAGCGAGGATGACAATGCTGGCACTTCTTCCTCACCTCTGTCCACCAATGCTGCTGCTGATGAAAGTGCCAATCGAGATAGTGCCACAGCTCCAGAACCAAATGATTGCCCAGCAGAAGGAGAGGAGGAAAATGGAGCCCTTCTGCATCATCACCACATACACCATCATCATCATCACCTGCACCCGTCATCTCATGGTCACCCCCTCCCCCTCCCAGGGGGTTCTTGTGATATAACAGGGATGGGTGACTGTTCACAGAACCACGGCCAAGGTGGGAGTGGAGGAAGTGGAGTAGAATGCCCCAAGTGTGATACTGTTCTAGGTTCATCACGCTCCTTGGGGGGTCATATGACCATGATGCATTCACGCAACTCATGCAAGACACTAAAATGTCCCAAATGCAATTGGCATTATAAGTACCAGCAGACATTGGAGGCCCATATGAAAGAAAAACACCCAGACTCTGGGGGCTCTTGTGTGTATTGCAGCAGTGGTCAGAGTCACCCTCGTCTGGCTCGTGGAGAAAGCTATACCTGCGGATACAAGCCCTTCCGGTGTGAGGTATGAAGACATTTAAGGTCCTAGTGCACATTTTTTAATAGATGGAAATAATTTTATATTATGTTATATAATATTATTTTAAATTACTATATATAAAATGTAAATTTGTATCTAAGAATTAAGCCTCAATTGCATTATTACACCTAATGAGAAAACATGCTTTGTTCTGCAGGTGTGTAATTACTCCACTACCACAAAAGGCAACTTAAGTATCCACATGCAGTCAGATAAGCACCTGAACAACATGCAGACGCTGCAGAATGGAGGCTCTATTGGCTCTGCGCAGGAACAGGTCTTTGGACACACTCCAGGTGGAGTGGTGGCTGTGCCCTCAGTGACCCAGGCCAGCAGCCATCACAGTTCTCACCATCATCCAACGCAGTCGTCCTCTCATTTGTCTGTACCATGTGGAGCTCCATCACCGACCAAGCCGAAGAGCAAACCTACCTGGCGGTGTGAAGTTTGTGACTACGAAACCAATGTTGCACGGAATTTACGCATCCACATGACCAGTGAGAAGCACATGCACAACATGATGCTCCTCCAACAAAACATGACTCAGATGCAGCATGGGCGACTTGGAATAGGAGCCATGACTTCGCCATCTGAGGCTGAGCTTTACCAGTATTACCTGACCCAAAACATGAGCCTTCCACCAGGCCTTAAGATAGACCCAGCTGGACCTGAGGCCCAGTTCTTAATGGGGAGTTTTCATCTTGATCCCAGCATGGCTACCTTGGCTCCTGCACTTGGTAAGTCACATCTTGCCTCTCTTGATTTTAACATTTTTCATAATCACGGTCAGTTAAAGGACAGATAAGAAGGGAAAAATTATATAATTTATTCTGTTATAAGTTTATTTTTAATTACCTAATGCTGAGAAAAGTAATAGAATAGGCAAAAAGGGTATTATGTATATATATATATATATATATATATATATATATATATATATATATATATATATATATATATATATATATATATATATATATATATATATATATATATATATATATATATATATGCAAAAACCCAGATTGTGTATGTCTTTCAGCTTTATGGTTTGATATTAAAGAAATGTGTGGTAATAGGTGCAGAGCTTTCATTCAGTGCCTTAAACTAATAATTCATACAACCTCTTACCAAATTTTGTGTTTAAAGTTAGCCTTTATGAACTTCATGGGCATGAGCTATGTTGTTAGTTGGCTGCAGATAAATCAGCACCAGGTATAAACAGATTTAATCTGTTAAGATAATATGAATAAATGCCTATTATTTAATTAGTAATATTAAACATACATTTGACAGTAGGTGTTTACATACAGAGTATAAACACCTACATACAGAGTAGAAAAAGAGAAATAAACCTTTATTTTCCTAAGCTTTCCTGTTTCAGTTGAAATAGGATTACCAAAATTATATTTATTGGCTATTTAACAGTTAAAACTTTATAAGGAATGTTTTATTACGTTCTTCCAAGTCAGAAGTTCACATGCAACAACATTGCTAAGCCTTTAAAATATTTGAGAAAGCACAGATGATGAGTTCATGGTTCTTTAAATCTCTGACGGGTTATTTCACATTTAATTGGTGCCACAGCTTTGGTTGTATTTTTAGACAGCACTTCAAACATGCTGCTTCTTTGTGCTGCATCACTGGAAAATCGAAAATAAAACCAGCAAAGATACATCAGGGAGAGAACTGTTGCCCTCCAACCTTCTGCTTCACCCTTTGGTAGAAATCCCATTGTCCGAATCTACACAGTAATGTGAAGCCTTCAAACCATTAGGGAAGCCGTGTGTATTTTAATGCAGTTACAGACAAAGGAAAAGCAAAAGACCTTGTGAATATATGGGCAGAAGTTAGTGTTTGTTTGAAGTGTACTTGACAAAAAAATGCATAATGGGGAAAGTAAGTTGTAAGGTTTAATGCAAAAACACCTCAAGAGATGGACCAGGAAATTAAAACTTAGATATAGTTGCATCTGCTGAATGAACATTGAGCAAAATCACATTGCCATATTTGTTACAAAGGAGTTAGGACAAGAAGGTTAAAGTTTTGGAGTTACAATTAAATGTCCTAACCTCAATTCTTCATGGAAAAACATGGGTCCATGTATAAATTATTGTACCACACAGCTAAGTGAGCTAAGCCAAGTGTACCACACAGCTAAGCCAAGTGATGCAATGATGTGTAGGGAAAATAAAGCATGTGATTTTTCTTTTCTTACACAGTGTATGTTAAAATCTGGTTTAAACAGCATCAAATGTAATCTGTGTGTTTTAGCTATCAGTGTAATAATCAATCTGTACTTCCACTTTTTCATTTACATTATTTTATTTTTCTCGAGGTGGGGAAGTCCCAATGGATGTGCGTCTTGGTGGTGGGCAGCTGGTATCCGAGGAACTTATGACCCTTGGAGAAAGCCTATCACAGACCACAGATCCATCCCTCAAGCTCTTTCAGTGTGCTGTGTGCAATCGCTTCACCACTGACAACCTGGATGTGCTAGGCATGCATATGGGTGCCGAACGCAGCCTGCCAGAGGAGGAGTGGCGTGCTGTGGTGGGAGACTCTCATCAGTGCAAGTTGTGCCACTACACCACACAACTTAAAGCCAACTTCCAGCTGCATTGCAAAACAGACAAGCATGTGCAGAAGTACCAGCTTGTTGCCCACATCAAAGAAGGGGGCAAAGGCAATGAATGGCGACTAAAGTGTGTGGCAATAGGCAATCCGGTGCACCTAAAGTGCAATGCCTGTGACTACTACACTAATAGCCTGGAGAAGTTGAGGATGCACACAGTCAATTCACGACATGAGGCCAGCCTCAAACTGTATAAGGTTAGTGGTCCTTTTATTGTTTTTATAACATCCTCCACTCATGTTAGACTTTTCTTTTCAGGCTGTTTTTAAGTTATAAATGTGTACATTTGTTTTTCTTAATATGTTCTGCCAAACAAATTTTTTTCAGGTTCAAATTGCTTAGAGGAATATGGTGGTTCTGCCATACATGAAATTTTTTTTGTTCTTTTTGAGAAATGGTTGAACATTATGGAGTTTTCACAAAGGGTAAAATTCTTATTCAGTACCCTCCATTCTATCTTAGTCTTTTTCAGCAAGACTTAATGAATGTTCTTGTGTTGCCAACATCACTGTGGCTATTCTTTAGAGGCATGAATAACAGCTTTGTTGTGAAGCTTTCATACTAAAGCCTTGCACACTGCTGCCCTCAGAAGAACATTGCAGGACAAGTTGGCTTGGAAGCGCAGGACTAAATCACTTGGTAGACGAATGAAGAAGTGTTAGGAGACAGAGGTTTGGTGCTAATACTCCTCTGAGCGGGAAGGGCTGAATTGTTCTCGACAGCCTTATTGATTTTTGCTGGACTTGGAGCTTCACCTTCTCCTCTAATCATTCCATAATAGCCAGTGGATGAACACTCTCGGAACAAATGGCCATAAATCTAACAGGCCTGATTCCACTTAGGTGCCTATCCTGTATGTCTGCGGCTTTGGCTAGTCTGCGCTTAACCTTAACTGGCATAGTTGCACATACTGACAAGACAAAAAACACTGGTAACATGTATGTGATGTAAGCTTAGGTGGCACTTAGAAAATCTTTCTACAGCTGTTGATAGGTTGGTAGGAAGTTTCTTATCACCATTAAGCTGTTTGAGTTTCTAAAAGTAGACAAGAATTTTATTTTTCTATTGCATTCCTTTGCACCTCTGGTTGTGTATCTTATCCAAGAAATATTTAAAGATGATGGGGAAGAAGTCATGCTTACTGCCTGAGGCATGGCGTTTGAATTACATAACAAAGGGAGCTGGAATCGTTTCAAACCTCTTAAAAATTCTATTTATTTGAAAATCTATTGGTATGACAAATAATCTCTTAAATTCAATGGCGTGACAGACATAATTTGTTCCCCAGTGTTTTTGTGCTGACAAAGTGGTAAAATCCGGAAATCAGTCTCAGATTTTGTTAGAAATCTAGGTGAGATGGAGTGTTTTGACTGTATATGTCACAGAAAACCAAGAGGATGTTTGGTTTGTTATTTTATAACCAAATCAGGGTTAATGAGAGATATAGATCTTTCAGTGTATTGAACATGTACATCCTTTTAAACTTTGGAGTAAGAATTAAAATGAGTTTGCAGCTTTGGATCAAATAGACAGACTTAGGCTTGTAAATCTCAGAGCTGCACTTTGGCTGACAGAATAGGCCACAGCTTCTTGTCTTTGTCTTCTACTTTTGTCAAAATCAGAAGGGATTCTGTTTTCTTTCTTTCCATAGATTTTTTTTTACACAAGCTTTTAAGGAGAGAGAACACATATGTCACACTAGAGTTCAGGCTGTGGAGGATTAAATATGTACAACACATTCAGGCATGATCATTTTTTATGACTTAAGCCTCTTAAGATGGCTCCATATTTTTTAAAACCAATTGGGTTTCCAACTACGACTGTGTGCAGTTTTACTGAAATCACCTGCTCCATAAATCGGTGAAAATGTTAGCCCTTGTAAGCTCTGCTTTATCCCCGACACAACTCAGAAACACAGATGAGCACAAGTCGCAAGATTCATTACACTAGTTTATGACTTAACAAAGTGACAAATACATGGTTGTGAGGTTTCTCGGCTGCACAGTTTTTTACTCCTTTTTGATTTACAGTTTTGGGTAAGATACAGACAGGCAAAAATCTTCCTTACCCACCAATGGCTGCAAAGGGCTCTCAGTTAATGCATGGATGGAAAAAGACTAAATGAAAACAGACACAAAATAAATCATCAACTCAGCATAAACAAGCTGTAAGATGTGGGATATGCTTGGGACACTTCACCCAAATCAAAGTGGTTTGCATTAAACAGTGTTTTTGTGTGTGTAGCTCCATATAAATTGGAGCCTGTAATTACTGGAATTAAAAAGGAAGGTTTAAACTGGGAGCTAAGTTAGATGGGATAATTTCAGAGTCTGTGGTATGTGGCCCATATTAGGGCTTTCTAAAAATATTACCCCCACCACCCCATGTATTGGAATGTTTTTGGAGGCCACAGAATGATCCAGCAACTTATCCCAACCACTGGACCACCACACAGTGGAGGCTGATGCTGTCTACTTTAAAGACTGCACTCTAAATTGACATAACCTTTTTGAGAACTGTGTATTTCCCACTCGATCATGTGATCCTAAGCTTCCTTTTACCTTCTTCTTTTCCATAAAATAATGAGGGATTTAGTGGTTCTGATGAGAAAGCATGATGGAAATACTTCTAGAATGGCCACTCCTGAATTCAGGCTTATGTTTTTTGCTGTGCAGTTAACATTTTACAATGATCATCATTTGCACAACTTCAGAGAAAATAAATAGTCTACTCAAAAGAGCATTACAAAATCATGTTTTCCAATCTTAGAGGTATGGTCTGGAACTAAGGTGCAGTGTGTAGCCCATATGAAGTTCCCAATATTACTATAAAACGGAGTTCAGCACTGGAAAGAAATGATTTCAGATTCTTTTTTTTGCCAGACGCTGCTGGAAGATGGCAGTAGATATTCAGAAATCCCATTCTTCCAACAGAAAACTGAGTATATTTGCCCAAAAACCCTGGTATATTAATGCATATACAAGTATTGATTGAATGGCTTAATTGATCTCACACTGGAGAAATGTACTTGTTACACGTTATATGGGCATATATTATCAACTGCACAATTAACAATAACAATAACTTGGCTGCGTATATTCAATTAATTTAAATTACCGGTACGTTGATTTCTATAGCGCCAATTCACAACACGTCGTCTCAAGGCACTTTACAGAGACAATTCAACCAGATCATACAGTTAAATTGATTCAATGTTTCTATCTTAAGGAAAACCAACTTATTGCATCGACTCATTGACTCAAAGGCAATCCGTCACACCAAGCAATTCTTGTAGTGACAGTGGAGAGGAAAAACTCCCTTTTAACAGGAAGAAACCTCCAGCAGAACCAGGCTCAGTACGAGTGGCCATCTGCCGAGGCCGACTGGTGTTCAAGGAGACAGAAGCAGACATAGAAAAATAAGCAGAGATACAAAAGGTAACTGTAAACCAGCTCCACAGACAGCATGTTAACCTATTAACGTAGGTATTCAAAACCTAACTTTTGAACATTAAATGTACAAGATCCAGACTAAGTGTAAATTGGAGGTGACACGTCATCTTGAATTTAGCTGCGTTACATTTTTATCTCTCTCTCTTTCATCTGTTTTTATGTTGTCGTTTGGTTTTAAAACACCAGGTTTCATCATTACTTGTTGCACCAGTAACCTTGACAATAACAATAAACCTGCTTTGTACTTGGTCATTTATATGTGTAGGGATCGTCTTTGAAAATATTATGAGTATGTGGCAGGCTAATCCATTTCCAGAACCTGGTTACTCTGACAAGATGGAAAGGATGGATCCCAAGCAGGCCTAGCTTTAGGCCTCAGCTTGCATTTGAGGTTTGAGGAAAAGAAGAGAAGCATGGGGAGTGGGGTGGGGGGGTTGCTGGCTACCTTCCTTGTCTCGGGGGCCGGTACAATCGGCAGTAATTGAGATTGATTGGATGTTATTTTTCCTCTTGCAAATGTAGTCCATTAGCTTGGCACATGCATAATCAGTTTAGAGCACAGTTAGCCGAATGTAATCATGTTCTTTGGTGTCTGCTAGCACAAAATCCACTCCAGATGCCAGTTGGCTGCGGAAAGATGGGGAGAAAGTGCCGTCACTATCAAACGTGGATCTTAAACTGAGCAAGTCCTGACATCCTTTCCTGTGTCATGGTCCTGCTCTATTTAGCTGAAAAAACTGTGAAATACATTCTTCGTCCTTTGTTATCCATATGAACTTATACTCTCAGACAGCACCCCTTTTAAGCCAATGTTCTGTCCATCATCAAAGACAACAATTTTAGCAGTTCCTTCTAGTTACTTTATCTATTATTATGATTGACATGAGGCAAGTCAAACCAAAGCAAATATAAATCTTTTGCAGAGACCAAATAATCATGACAAATATTGAGGAAAAAAAGGGTTTAACATAAATTAGGGAATTAATTGTTACATACATTAAGTGTTTCCTTGATTATGCTTTGAGCAGACTTGATTACTTTGCATTTTAATGATGACGTGTGATGATATTGACTCTAAACCCTTAGACTTACTGTTTTATGAAGTTTGTTTATTGTTGTATTTCAAACTTAGTTCAATAAAACTACAAAAACAATCATTAGATACAGTGATATGCTATGACTTGCCATTTAGTTAGATTTTTAGCTTTCCTTTCACAGTTTTCTACTTATCTCCTCAATAGTATTGCAATAATAACAGAGGATGTAATTCAGATATATTAGAAATTGAATGAAAGAAATATATTTTTCTATAAAAAAGTGTAAAAGAATCAGAATTGCAACCTTAAAGGAATATGATGCAATGCTCACTGAACAAGTTTAAATTCATAGGGTGTAAATTGTGAGTCGAGTTGCTGTCTGAAGAGACAGCATTTTAGAGGACAAGGGCTACCACTGTTACACTAGCTTCATTAAGACAATCCTAAACTAGTTACATAAGAATCAACTTACTTAGAGTTGGTGTAAAAAGGAGTGGACTATTGCTTTGTTGTCCTGAGCCCTCTTTTTTATAAGTATATATTTGAATTTAATGTCTAAATCAAATTCCTTAAAGTCTCAAGGCAAAGGGAGAGGAAGACAAAAGTGTTTCCATTTAATATACAAACTATGCAGTGAAAGGAAATCCTATTTAATAGGTCAAAATTTAGTGTTGCTAACATTTATTAGTTGAGTTGTCCTGAAAAATA